GAAGACCTGTGACAGGCAGATCTTAAAGAGGACATTTTAAAATCACTCTTTAAATCTAGTTATTACCCACTCCAATGGCCTCAGAAACCCACAGTAACCCCAGCAGCACTAGAGAGAAAAACATCCTGACAGATTATTTACTTTGCTACTCAACAACCCTTGTGCTTCTCTGGTTTGATTAAGAGCCACTCTCCTTGTATTTGTTACCTTGCACCAGAGATAGGAATACTAAGGAAAAAAGGGAACAAAACAGAAAGGCAGAATGGAGATTGCCCCGACACAACAGAAGCTCAGAGATGCACATGTGTTTTCTACATTATTATTTTTGTTTTTTGTGATGGAAAAATATTCACGTTGGCAGCATCTCTAAGCCATTATGGGATATGAGCGTGTGCCATTAAAGGAAGAGAAAGCTATCCAAATGAAAGCACCAAGGGAAGCTCCAACATTATCCAAGCTGGAAGTTAGCCAAGACACCAGGTGTCGAGCACACCTGCTCATACCAAGCACACAACGTTCTGAATACACACAAACAGTCAAATCTTGGTTTCACAGCCTGGCCACAAAGACAGCTTCAAGTACCCATCAAGACAGGGCTCTGGGGAGCTGTAACACAGATTAAATCGCAAGGAAGAACAAAACCTGGGAATTTAAGAGCCATCATCACCCTCTGCACACAAACACATCCAGGCAGTCCTCCCAGGAGCACTCAGCAAGGCAATTTCTGCATGGAGGAACTCAGACCGCCAAGCTGGAAAGACCTGCGTGATTTTGCCAAAAGCAAAACCCATTTCTAACTTATTTAAGGCACTGGTAAGGTCACACGTGTGTGAGAGCTGTCAGCACGGCTCAGCACTCTCCAGTCTGAGATACCCAGCATCACAGAGGACCAGGAACCCAGTCAGGGTGCCTGCAGTGGGTGAGCGAGCAAAGGCAACCTCATAGCTCTGCACAGAGCACATATGCTCTATGGAAGACTTCATCCACAAAGATATAAAAGCTGAAAAACACTGCTCCATTAATTCAGCTTCCTAGGTGTCTTACATGGTTGTTTTTTTTGTCATTAACTGTTATGTTACTATCCTTCCACAGATAAAACAGTAGAGATATTGGGACAAGTCACAGAAAAGCATCTAATTAAAACTCATCTGGTGTGTTACTTACTAGAAGCATGGGAAAATGCCTATTTATGATGTTCCTGAATGCATTCAAGGCCAGCTGCATGTGGCTCTGGGCAGCCTGGTCTGCTGGTTGGCGACCCTGCACATAACAGGGAGGTTGAAACTGGATGATTATTGCAATCCTTTTCAACCCAGGCCATTCTATGATGATCCAAGAATGTCTGCACCTTCATTCATTCCAAGACATCTCACACACAGTTTATTATTCTGCACTGTGCTGATGAAACTGAATTTCCACACAGTCACTCTATGCCAAGGACTCACAACCAGTTCACATTCCATCTCTATGGATTAAAGATGTCTGGTTTTTGTTTTTTGTTTTTTTTTTTTTTTTAAACTAGTCTTTTCCGAGAAAGAAACAATGAGAAATTTGGTTAAAATAGGCAAAGACAGAAGAGTGCATCCATCAGAGCACATAACAATTAGCTACCTGGAAATTACACATAGTTTTTCAAGGCAGGCAAGCTGTTCTACCCACCAATCTGAACAGCTCTGTTGAGTCCTCTCCACATGCAGGGGCTGAAAATGAATGAGCTGTTATAATGAATTAGCAAAGATATGCAGGCACTGTGAGAACTATTACATTTCAGCTGATGGTATTCTACACCCTTGGCTGGATAAGAAGGCTCTCCAGAAGGATCCTGAAAGCTAAAATGGGGTATCCTATGTTAAATGATCCTGAAGGGCTACTGGAAAAAATGGCACAAACATTGAACAACGTATTTTAAATGAGCTAAGTGCTTACACCTAATTTCCTTCTAATGAGAACAAGCAGTCACCTGGCAAATTCGAAAAGGCAAATATGAAAATTACTCTCCATTCAAGCAAAAGCAAATCAGAACAGAAGAAAGATCACCAAAACTCCACACAAACATCCCTCACTCTGTGATTACACCACTTGAACATGAAGCTCAGATGCAGAACAGACTGGAATGTAAGAGGCATGTGGACACAGCACTAAGGGACGTGGCTTATTGCTGGCACATGGCAGGTCAGGTAGTTGGCTGGATTGATCATATTGGTCATCTTGAAGATCAATTCCAACTGAGACAGTGCTATTATTTTCCACCCACACTCACATCTTTTGCATCTCTCCCAGCCATGCTGGCTGGTGGACATGTTTGTTCTGCTGCCCCGAAGCCAAGGATGAAGTTCTCTTTGCTTCTCTCTAACACCATGCTACAAAAGGTCTTTTTTTAAATCAAAGAAAAGCATACATTTAGATTTTAACTTCATTCAAAGATTTTTTTTTATTTGTAGATCTTTTATCATATGTTTTTAAAAAGCCTTAATGGCTATGTATGCAGTTGGATGTGACAGGCTTGTAGAGGCTAACCAGACAGCATTAAGGCATAGCAGAGCCTGGAAAAGCAAGAATGTTGAGTTACTCCTCTGCCAATAAACCAAGAAGCACTGTTCTCTGCTCCAAAAGCTACCATTCATCCTTCCTGCTCGCCAGAGAAGGCATAACAGCAGCTGGCAAGCAAGAAGAAAAACATAAAAGGAAAGGTGATGAGATCATGAGCTAATAAGAGAGAGACTATGCTGCTGTCTGAGGCTCTACGAAAGCCCCGTAGAGGAACATGGGACACCTGCTAGCAGCTACACCAATAAACAAACTACTGCTGTACCACTGAACCTCAATTCTTTGCATGCGGGTTTCCAGAAAACAGAACATAGCCACAAAACACTTGGTTTCCCTGCATATGGTCTCTGACTTTTTCCAGGTTTGTCCTGCTATCTCTAAATGATAAATTCACCTCTGAATTTATCAGACACATCAAGAAATAATTGTACTTTCCTCATTTTACTCACATTCTCTGCAGACAGTACATGCTATTACATTACCAGTTTGTGCCACCCCAGAAATCTCATTTACATGCACTGGAAAATTAAAGTCATCTTCTGATTCTTCATCTTCTGATACATCATCATGATTGTCTCCAAACCCAACTCAACCAACAAGCACTGCGTGAGCTGAGCCAGAACCATTCCTCTCCCTCCACCGCTTTCCCAGCCTGTGTGGAGCAGATTCGGGGTCAGGAAAGAACCTGGAGCTCCTTTTTGCTTCCCAGTGAGCAGCAACAACAGAGCAGACCATTCCTCCCTTCTCTGTGGCCATTGAACCTCTACATAAAGCATCCTCACTCTTGCACTGTGAGCAAGCTGTTTCAACAGTATGCCTAATGGTAAAGGAGAACGGGTAACGGAGAGCAATCAGGAGTCGGAACTGGAAGGTGGTAACAGGAAGATTTGTGGGGAAAAGGCACATGAAAAGAGCATGGAAAAACCTGTGAAAGGACACAAATAATCCAGTGCAGGAGTGAAGTAATTGCGGCAAGGGAAACAAATGAAAACACAGCGATGAAAACTTGAGGGAAGGCAAAAATGAAAGAAAGAAATTTGATATCTTGAGTGGTTTTCATTGCGGAGAAAGAGACCAACAGCATTCAGCAAGTAAATTATTCAGTAAATTTCAATAATGTTTCTTTCCACAGCTATTGTAACCAACTGAATAGCTGTGCAAATATTTCCAAGACGATGACAACATTCATCACATCTGAGATATCAAAACGCAGCCTGACTGACTGGCTATTATGAAGCTGGCTGAAAATATATTACCATTAAAATTCAGCAAACAACTGACAGCAGAGAACTGCCACATTTTACTCTTTTGAACTGTATGGAGAGGAGTTTTTTCACATCATACTCACATACGAATTTGTCAGCTAGCTGGGAGACAGTAAGCACAATGTCACTCAACAGCCCTCTCTCTGCTTGAAGGATTTCCTTCTGTATGATTTAAACCTGAAATTTGGACTCAACGATCATTTCCAAAATGCCAATGCCATTTTGACTATATCTCATTGCCTACTGTAGTGATAGCACAGCTCTAGTAACAGAAAGTCATTAAATCCTGATAATGAATTTAAATAGAAAACATGAAGGGAGGAGATCAGACAAACTGTTTAATGCAGGAAGGAGAGCTGTCAGCTAAACAATGAATTATCTGGTGGAAAAGTCTGACTGCCCAATGTGGCTCGTAGCAGGGAACTTTTGCCTAAAAAGATCTCTTATCAATGGAGAAGTTGATGAAGGAAAGTATTTTTTTCACATTTTTAATCTAGACTACTTATCTTATGTTCTCATATGTTATCAAGAGCAATGATAAATTGTACCAGAGTCTCATCTGCAGAAGCCTGAATGTTTTCTTGTTCTCATGCAGCCCTGGAGAAGCACGCTGTAAATCACTGGGTCCACAAGGTTTGGGGAAAGGCAACCTTGAAGCTTCCAGAACATACTGTGCAAACAGGCTGCTGGATTGGAAAGCTGCACCTCTCTCATTTGTGAAGAGGTTAAGAGAGACTGCTAAAGTGCTCTGAGTCCCTTAGATAAATAGACACTTAAACCAATCAGGTCTGAGCATGTAATAAAAGAAGAGCAAGACCAGAGGCACTGCTCCTAATGCACTTACCTCACACTATACACAAACTTGCACAGTATCAGAGCCAAGTACTTGCGTGGTCTGTGTGCTAAAGTGTGTGCTGCTCTGCTTGTCTGCTGGCTGTAAAGCATCTGTTTTCAAAAAGCAATCCACTGAGCAACAGGTTTTCTTCTTCTCTGTATAGGAACTCTGTCACTTCCAGTCTTGCTCAATTTTTAGATCAGATTTGCTCCTTGTGATCTCCCTGATGTGGTTTATCTCTGCCACCATCTCCCTGTTGCTCATTTTTCTTCTAGTTAACCACCCTCAAAAATTCCTTCTTCAAAACTTACTTTGAATGTCATATATAAAAATACACGATAAAATATCCATACCTGTACCAGCCAGATCCCATCTTTTGTGTCTTCTACAAGCTCATAGAAATGCATTTCACCACTAAAGTTCGTACTTGAAACTGACTCAGAGGCCTCTTCCTCCTTGAGAGCAGAATAAAGTTCCCCTTCCATAAGGTCACCTGAAAAAGAAGCAATTGGAGACATTCAGTGAAAACATCATGACAGATTACTTAATAGCAGCAAATTCTAATAGTAACAGTGATTCTATTTCAGAAAGCAGCACTTTCACTAGGTAGATTTTAAACGGGTGCTCAAAACCCTTATCAGTAGGAAGGCAACTGAACTGAAGTTATTTTAGTTCCATCCATAGAGACCTGACTACAAAGAATTTGACAACGCTTCTGATTACACACAGACATACCACACATGAGAGTAAATGAACATCTCCTGAGCCTCCCTATCTGAAAACAACAGCATCTCAGTGGCAGGCAGCAATTTGAATTCACGTATCTTGACTTGCATTTCACAGGATAGTAATTTTGGAGCAAACAAATCCTTAGCACTGATCATTCGAACAGCATTTCAATCAGTAATTTGGTACCTGAAAACGTGTTGAGTGTCCCACGAGAAGCAAAAATCCAACACAGAACAATTCAGCTGTTGGGTTCTGTTTACAGAGTTGCAAATTAATTCTCATCAACTCCATCCTAGCGACATAAGAGGCTCGTGGTGAAATCATTTGATGTTTTCCCCATAACCTCATTTTCTTCCCATGTTTTGTTTTGCCATCATTACCAACATTCTTAATAACAACTGGTATTTTTGCAACTAATATGTTAAACTTGAAGAAATGAAGCCTTGCCCAAAGAGGCTACTTCCTACATAATGAGGGGTGAAAAGAAGTGCTCTGTTACAGCGGAAACACTTGAGAGCTTTCAAAAAGTATTCATGGTATTCAAACTTCAAAATTAGAGAAAAATTCTGCAAAGCCTATTGGCACTAGAGTTGTTTCCATGACATTTTAAGTCAGTTAATAGTTTGTTTGGCGTTAAACACTTCCCTGCAGCATTTGCAGCCCAAACATAATGACATCATGAAAGTACGTGACAGCCAAAGAGCGAAAGTGATTGGAAACAAAACCGAAATTGCCTCCTGGTGCCTACTGGTGAAGCAGCAAAGTGAATAAACAACATAAATAAACAACGAACAATACGAGCAAATTAGATTTAGATGTCCAGCTTTAACATCAATTATTAAAGCCAGCTAGCATTTTGTGGCTGTGACCCTCCCTGTATTCATCCAAACCCTTTATTTCTGTGTTCCCTTAGCGAGCACCAGGATTTTTCTCTCTCTAACAGCAGCCCTTTGCCCGGTGATTTACAAGCAGCAATGTCCTGCTTGGCTGGCACTACGCTGATTACATCAGCCCATCTCGAGCCCTTTGGGCCGCTTCCCTTTGGGCCCCCATCTGTACTTTCCACGCACTCCTGCAGCTCTGCCCGCAGCCCCCCCACTTCCACCTGTCCGTACCAACTTCTGCAGCACTTTTCCACGCACGGCACCGCCGATCCCACAGCTCCGCTTCCCTCATCCCCGTCCTGATGACACCTCTGAGCAAACGAGCGATCCGCAGGGAAAGGGACGCGGAGAATAAGCCGGCCCCAGCTAAATAATAAACAGCAACCCGCCAGCCTGCGTATCTTCGGATTCGCTCCTCCTCGGATTCTTTCCTCCTCGTTTTTCACGGCGGATGACATTCGCTTCCAGCCGCGCGCAGGGAGCCCGGCGCTGCGCTGCGCACCCGACAGCAAAAGCCCCTTCCCGATAGGAAACCGTTTCTCGGCAGCCCGGCCGAGGCCCTCCGAACGCCGCCCCACCGACAGCGCCAGCCGAGCTCGGGGCGCTCGGGGGTCACGCCGGGCCCGTGCCGGGCGCGCTGACGCAGCGCGGAGCGCCGTCCGTGCCGCCGTCCGAGCGCCGCCCGGGGCTCCCGCCGCAGCACCGCGATGCCCTTGGCCGGAGCTGCCGCCTTAGGCCCGAGGGGAGGGAGGGAAGGGAGGAGGGAAGCGGCCCTACCTGACTTCTCCACCAGCTCCCGGACATCCTTCTTCTCGGGCAGCCCCGAGTGCCCCAAGCCGCGGCACTCCAGGATGGTCCGCAGCTTCCTGAAGCTCAGCGCCACCGGGTCCACCAGCTGCGTGGCGAAGAAGCCGGTCTCGTACCACACCACGGCCTCGAACACCCTGGCCAGGACGAAGAGCACCAGGAAATACAGCAGCAAGAAGCACAGCTTCAGCCACATCTTTCCCGGCGGACGGACGGACGGACGGACGGGCTGTAGAAGCCGGGGGGGCCGGCGCTGCCCCGCGGCTGGCGGCGCTGAGGCGGCGCGGGGCTGTCAGCGCGGCGGGGCTGCGCGCCCCCCGCCTCCCTCCCGCCGCTGTCCCCGCCCCGGCGGAGCCGCGGCCGCCGGCGGAGACATAACAAGTGACGTGTGCGGGCGGGCGGGGACCGGCGGAGGGAGCGAGCGAGCGAGCGGGGACGCGCTCGGCCTGCCCTCCGCCCGCTACTCGCGGCCCCGGAGGTTCTCACAGCCCCGGAGGTTCTCACAGCCCCGGCCCCGCCGCCCCTTGCCGGCTGACGGCAGCGCCCTCACCGCGCACGGCAAAGCGCCGGAGGCCTGCCGACCGAATGGGCTGCGCCGTAAATAAAGAGGTTGTGCCGTAAATAAAGGGGTTGTGCTTGCCCTAGGCATCAGCTTTGGACCCGATTGCTGTGGTTGCTATAAAATAAATATTAGAAAACAGCTAGAAGGGGTAAACCGCAAGCCAGATTGATGTTTTTCATTAGGAGAAAGGTGTTCGTGCAGCCAGAGCTGAAGTGCTTGGACAGTTTGCAGGATCACAGAATCGTTAAGGTTGGAAAAGAGCTCAGATCGCCAAGTCCAACCACCAGCCCATCCCCACCGTGCCCACCGGCCATGTTCCTCACTGCCACATCCCCAGGTCCTGAACACCTCCATCAACAGTATTTCGACAGCAACCCAGTGGGACCACTTTATCATAGCATCATACCATAGAATGGCCTGGGTTGAACAGGACCATAATGATCATCTAGTTTCAACCCCCCCTGCTACATGCAAGGTCATCAACCAGGTAGACCAGACCATTTCACCGGGGCTCTGCACAAGAAGCGTGAGAAAGGCTGTAAAGAGGTGATTTAGTCTGCTTCAAAACACACTGCAGTCACACTTGGTCTTTGAGATGAAGGCTCTCCTCTGAAGGGAACTCAGCATCACCTCTGTAGGTTTAGTTATTTTAAGAAACCACAGTTTGCATTAAAATTGCCAACTCATACACAAACACAGAAATAGCACAGCTTCATTTAAAGAATACTGACAACCCCTCAGAGCACACACGCTTAAGTAATTCTGCACTAAGGCATAAAAATCGAATTTTAACATAAATATTGACCTGTAGAAAGCATCTAAATGGCCACGCTCTTCAGAGCTGTTAAAAAACAGTTAGAGGGTTCTCTACATGTTGATATGAAGGGGAAAAAACCACTAATCATTACACCCACACCAACCATCGTAAAAAAGAAATATGAATGTTGCTTTTTTGCTCTACCTTTCCCTGCCTTATGCTATCCTGGGCATCCTGGATGCAGGTTCAGCCCATATTGTCCTGTGTAGCTTTGCAGGTGGCTGCACAGCCATGATAGCCTCTTTGAGGATGGCCGTGCTTTCTATCGCAGTGGGCTCGTTTTGTTTCTGGAAAGGGGAAGAGAGATTGCAGAAATAGCTGCTCACAAACTAAGTCCTCATGGGCTTCTAAATGTTCTGTGTTGTACTGGGAGCTGTACAACTCTTTATTCCTCATAATTGTAATGTGGTACAGTAAAGATTAGAGGAGGGAAGGGTGGACTGCACCAGAGCTGCTGCTGTTGCTCAGCTGAGTGAATATAAAGGGGTTTCAGCGGCTCAGTCTGATTTGGAGTGAGCTTGCACAGAAGGTACAGGAGGAACAAGTGGGAGCTTGTAGGAGAACAGGCTGTAGCCCTCTCCTTCACAGTCACTCCATTTTTTAAAATCCCCTTCAAGGACCCATCTCCCTGATGAGAAAGTGTCTGTGGCACAGCATCAGTAAGATTAATCCTTTCCCCTTGGCAAAAACAAAACTGAGAGTGGCTTTGTTACTGCAGTTGGCAGAGCCAAGGGATTTTCAATAAAAAGCACATTTAATGTCACCTGTCGCTAGGACCAGAGGCAGGCTCCCCTGAAGTGCTGAGAACACACTGCAAGACCACATTTCTTTTTCAAAAGTTTCACAGAGACTCTACTTTTGTCACACACACAAGGAGCTGCCCCATTTCCCTGCTCTCCCTGTTTCCTCCCTGTATCTTTTGGCTGTGTGCTGAGCTGAGGGATGCCCTGCTTCCTCCAGCTGGAAAGCACCTAGCATTAATTAAGGTTACGCTCACAGCTCAACTATTTGCAACACCAACTGCTGGGGAGGCTGTCACCAGTATGTTATTTCCTACTGCTCACGGGCTGAGTTAAATCAATTCTTAACATTCCCCAGTGGTAATTGATGGTGAGTCCCCTGCAGATACTAAGCTAATCATCTGCCAAAACTCAAAACCCTGGAGTAATTTCAAGAAAGTAAAACTATTGTTTCAAACCACTATCCAACACATACACACCCCAAACAATCCAAAGCAAAGCAACTGTGAGCACAGCAATACAAAGACAACAGAAATGTGAGGGAGGGGGAAAAATGCAAGTGAAAAGCAGGGCAGGGAAGGGTATGAGCAAGAACCACAGGTGATGGATTAGCCAAAGGCTTGGGGGACAAATGGGATAACGCTAGGAAGCTGCACAGTGGGTTTGGGGCCTCTGTGCTGAAGTATTGGTTCTGCAAAGATTTGTTCTGAGCAGTGCCAAGGGCTGCACTTGTACAAACCCGAGGAGCATTTGCATATTCACAGAATTTTGTTTTTTTTCTTTTTTTTTCTCCCTCCAACTCATGTTTAATATGCTGAGAAAGACTTCCTAAATGAATACTGTCTTTACATCTTCAGTTTACAAACCTGATGTGGTATTTTCTAGATACGGCTGACATTTGTTGCTTTCTAGTTGTAACTCAGAATGTCTTTGACATGTCACCTGCAAACAACTTTTCAGAGAGTTATAATTAGCTGGAAAATTTGAATACCATAGCAGTGAATTAAAAATTCATTTGGGGTGAAGACAAACAAGACACGCACTGACATTTTAAAGACCTTCGGGTTAACTCAACATAATTAGCAATATTAAACAGTCATCAGACAGACAGTTCTGTGCTCACTGAGCAAATATTACAGATGTAATGAGAACTAAATATGTAAATTCCACCTTTAAACAAAACCTAAAGCAGGGATCTGCTCCTACACCACCTTGGTTAAAAGAATATTTTATTTGAATTTCTGAGAGAATGAGATCAAATCCTGAGAACTGAGACAGACCTCTTTTCTTCTCAGACAGCCAAATCTGAAGACTCTGCTGCTCATTGATAAATGGCAAGGATTTCCTCTCCTCCTTCATCGTTTTCTGTGAGCAGCTGCTGACTGGGCACCCTGGGAATACAGACAATAATCCACTTTCTAGACCCAGCCATCTACTGGGAGCATTAAGACAAGTATTGTCATTTTTGAAGTGAATACAACTGAAGACTGAAAATCTATTCCATTCCTTACCGTGTTAAAATATTATCACCCCCTTCTTTTTGGACAATCTTAATATTGCCACTACCAAGATCAGTCAACTAACATTTAAGCTACTAGAAACACAGTTTTACCATGAGTCAGCCAACTCTGTAAATATAATTGGCAGGAGTTTAGTAAAATACAGTCTTCTTGGATTACATTTTAAACAACATGGGTGCACCTCAACAAATTTTTATGTGCGCTATAAAATATTACTTAACTGATGTTAATTAAATAAACCAGCAAGCCTCTGTGAGAGTGTCAAAACAAAATGGCGGCAGCCAGACAGTGCTGTTTTATCTAGAGGAATTTTATATTCAAAAATGTTTCCTGTAAGTGGCCAAAAAGGAAGTAGATTTAATATACAGGTATTCTGCAGTAGATTGGCCAATATTTGACACCACAGTTAAAGCTCTGGTTATTCAGGTGAGGCAAGCCTGATGAGATCCAGCAGTGAATCACATGGCAGTTCCAGTGGGACCGGATCTCCAGAGGTCACGAAGTCCAATCTCCTGCTGGAGGCAGGGACAGCTGGGATACCAGACCAGGCTGCAGGCTGCACCAGGCTTTACGCAGGCTGCAGTTTTACTCTTTGATCTGATAGACAATCTTTCCTCTCCTGTGGTAATTGCTTGTGAGCACACAGCAGTTAACAGCACAGAAAGGTACATGAATCAAGGCCAAAGCAGCATACAAGAGCAGAATACATGAATTAAATCTTGAATTGCCTTTTTTTTTTTTTTCTCTAGGTATTAATAGGTACTTCCTAGGTATAAGTTGGTATTTTCTTTATTGTAACAGTAAGAAATCTTATACTGCCCCTTGAGAAGAGAGATTCTGTTTGATGACTATATATATGTTTGACAATATGTGCGTATATACGTATACTTGACTATATTTGTATTTGACTGTATATGTTTATATATGTATGTCTAAATCAGGAGATCTTGCTTGAATGTGCTAACAGATGACAAAGGTGACCATGGTGGTAAAGAACCTAACAAATGAAACCAAGATACTAATGACATAAGCCCAAGGCATTTGCATGTCTTTGAACATCATGTATGAATACAGAAAGAGCAGGAATAAAAGGCAGCAGTTTGGGCCTGAATCTGACAGAATGAATGTGCCTTGTATGCATCTACACGAGAATAATCTTCTCTGCTTTTGTGTCTATTTCAGCAGTACAGCCACAGATGAAGCAACAAGATACATGGTTTGAGTTTTGGGAGTGCCTACAGGAGGAATAACCACATGCATCAGTATGGGTTAGGGGATGAGCTGCTGGAGAGGAGCTCTGTGAAGAGGACCTGAGGGTTGTGGTGGACAACAGGCTGGCCATGAGCCAGCATTGTGCCCTTGTGGCCAAGGAGCCCAATGGTCTTTTTAATGTGCATTAAAAAGAGCATGAAAAACTTGAACAAGAAAACCTGTGTACTAACACGTGCAGGAACTTCTACACAGTGAGGATGACAAAGAAGTGGAACAGGCTGCCCAGAGAGGCTGTGGAGTTGCCTATGGAGAGACTGAAGACCCATCTGGGTGCCCACTTGTGTGACCTGTTGTACGGAACTGCTTTAGCAGTGGGGTTGGACTCAGTGATCTCTCGAGGTCACTTCCAACCCCTGTGATTCTGTGATTGTGAGCTGGACTCTGTGATCCTCGTGGGCTGTGACAGAGTACTTCTATGCTCCAACTGAGACCAGAGTTTTCTCAACTGATTCTAACAGAACAGAAACACATGGTGACACCTGCCTGGGGTGCCATATCCAAGCACTGAAGTGCCAAGGGGGTATTCAAGCAAAAAATATTTATTCCGGCGGTTCTTTTTTTTTAAACAAGTGCTTGCCGGGCACTCCGCGGGGGGCTGAATTCCCTCAACCCACAACCCCCACAGGTGCCGCACACCCACCCGAGGCCCGACAGCACACAGCGCAGCCTCCTCCCCCTCCGCGCCCAACCCCACCTGGCCGTCCCCACGGCAACAGCGCAGCCTCAGGACCCCGCGCTTAGCTGCCCGCCTCGCTGCCTGCTCCCTCACGCTGGTAGGCCGGGGCTGCCCGCCGCGCTGCCTGAGCAATAATCCCTGCCCCTCCCTCTGTCCCCGAAGGCCCCCGCCTGCCCGCAGCGCTGCCTGCTCCCCCGCCGCCGAGGTCCCCGCCTGCCCGCAGCGCTGCCTGCGCACAGCTGAGGGAGACCGGGAAGTTGGACGCCGGGCCGGGGCTGACGGTGTGCGGCCGGGACAGGCCGCTGAGCTCGGGGGTGGGGGGAGACGAAGAAGAAGAAGGCGGCCCGGCGCCGGCCGCTATGGACCAGTGCGTGACGGTGGAGCGGGAGCTGGAGAAGGTGCTGCAGAAGTTCTCGGGCTACGGGCAGCTCTGCGAGCGGAGCCTGGAGGAGCTCATCCAGTACGCGGGAGGGCTGCGGCGGGAGATCCTCCAGACCGAGAGTACGTGAGGAACCCCCCGCTCCCCCCCACACGCACGACCCGCTTTGCTTCCCTATCCCCGTCCGTTCCCAGCCCGCCGCCCTCCTTCCCCATTCGTCAGGGCAAAAAAACGCTTCGAAAGGTCTTAAAATCCGTCAGAGTGGAACGCGAGGCCCGCAGGCTGCCCTCAGCCCTGCCCGGCTGTGCCCTCAGCGCGCTGTGAGCCGCTGGGCTGCTCAGCCCTGCGCTGTGTGGCCGGGGAGAGCCAGGAGATAAAGAGCGGGCTTGCGAGAAAGCAGCCGGCCGGCTGTTTATTTCGCCTTTCTCTTTGTTTTCTCTTTTCCTCGATGCTTTTGTCACTTGTTTACCTTCGTGGAGGGCAGAGCCGCTCTTCAGCTGGAAGCAAACACGGCCTCGTGAGTGGAGTTTCTGTTTTGCAGCCGGTGTGGGCAGGCTCGGTCTCCGAAGCACGCTGTAAACATGAGACACTCAGCTTGCAAAATCACCGCAGCGGAGGCAGCGCCGTGTTTATGGATGGTGTGGGAGGGGTGCTGAGGCGGCTGAAGCGACTTCACCCAGCGCCCTGCAGGAAGTGAGTGGTGGCTTAGGGATTAGGAGTGGGAGCTGCCCGGCTCCTCTGCCCAAACTTGACAGCAGGGTGTTTATCTCGCTGCTTTCTGGGATTTGCTGTGCTTTGGTTCAGAGTCAAATGGGTTTGCTGTGGATTTGTTACAAATACAGGTGCGGTTCTCGTCTAGGAGCACATTTAGTTCCGGGAACATAAACAGAAGTGCGTGAGAGTTGCTGCGTGCACAGAGCAGTTTTGCATAGAGAGCAAATATGGAAATGCAGTTCTGAGGCAATTGTTTGGGATGAAGTCATGTTCTGTCTTTTTTGGTATTATTTTGGAAGCGCATCTCAGTAAATGCGCTCAGTGGCTTTCCAAAGAGTTTGAGCTTGTATGTTTTATCGACTGTCTTTAATGCATATCCTCACAAGCAGATGCTGACCTTGCTTGGAAAGCTTTGTGGCACGGCCTTTAGGCTTGCGTTGATACTTATAGGAATCTGTGGGATTGGGAAGGTTTGTAAGCAGCCTATTCCAGGCTGGATGTGGCTCTGGGCAGCCTGGTCTTGTGATTGGTGACCCTGACCATGGCAGGGAGGTTGAAACTAGATTATCTGTGAGGTCCTTTTCAATCCAGGCCATTCTATGATTCTGTTCCACATCCAGAGCTTTTAGTTCTGTTGTAGTAAAGTGAAAACTCGTGGTTCTCCCTCCAGGCTCCACCTGCAAGTGTTTTGGGATGGTATTATGAAACCCCAGATGTGTTCTCAGCACTTACTGATCGACTGGTGATGCTGTCCCAGCAGAGTGCATCCCAAACTGAGTTTTCTTTTAGTCAGCACTCTAGAATGAAGCTAATGTGTTGTCAGTGCATACTCAAATATCTCAGGGCTCCATTAAATTTTAATGTCTGTGGGTAGGCAGCTTTCATAAGGTTTCATGTACCTTTCTAGTAAGACTTGCAGCTGTTATGTGCTGTGACCTGGATTTTTTTTTTTTTGAGAATTGATGGACACGGAAGCAGCCAGATATCCTAACATGGAACTCTGTAATTTGGGGGTGTGAACTGCAGAATTATCCCTCTCTGTATGTGATTTAAAAGGGAAAATAAAAAGAAACAAAACAGGTCCAAAAGTAATAGGAAGAAGTTCACGTTGCAGGACGAAATTTGAAAGAAAAGATGTATGAAAGGGCCTTAAATAGGCAGTGGCTATCAAAAGGAAATGGGTGGAGAAAAAAAATCTGTTAGTTTAGAGCCTGAAGCAGCTTCTATCTTGTGCTCTTTTTCCTGCTTTTCACATTTCTTGAGCTGTTTTTCATGTTTCAAAGCCCAAGCACTGAGCAGCCCCGTGTTGAGACCTGTGGATAGGAAGACCAAGTTTGCTTTTCTTCTCCTTTAATACATCTCATCTCCTAGAGCAGCCAAGGCAGGATTGCTTATTCTTCTTGGATGGTGGAAGCAATGTCTGGTCAGTGTCTGGCTGACTGAACTTGGCTTTGAGCTCTGCTCACTGCCTGGTCTCTGATTGCTGAAGTATTTCCTTTTAAATTGCAGCTCTGTATACCCAGTGCAGTGAAGCTGTCAGTCCGTGGTGTTCTGTGAGCACTGAATGCTGAGAGGGGTTTGTCTGCAGGCTTCCTTCTGCTGATTTATTGCAAGTAATCATGAGTTTAATTAAAGCAGAAAGAGATACGCGTAGGGGGAGAAATCTTTTCTCTTATAAATTTGATGGCTTTTCTGCTGTAGCTGGTTTCTGCTGTAGTATGTGTTAGGGGACAATAATCCACTTATTTGCTCGGGGTAGAAGTACCAGTGTGTGTATAAGTTGTTTGGGTTTTAGCTTAATGGCTTTTCTAGGAAAAAATGGCTATTAATGTGTTTTATCTTCCCTGTTTATGGGGCAGTGCAGATTTGGGGAATGATGCAGATTTGGTTGTGGTATAATCTGAGCATTTTGTCCTGGGAGAAAGCACCAGAAAGTTCCTTAATCCTTTATGTAAGTTTTAAATGTCTGTCACAAGAAGTAAACAGTAACAGAAATAATCATTATTGTTGACGTAATGGTAGGAGGCTGACTTCAGGTGGCAGTTGTGTGAAATTTCTTCTTTAATTTAGGGTGTGTAGAGCCAAATTGGTGACTGTCCACTGAAAGGACTGTTTCCATCCTCAGTAAGAAAAAAACGTAGACCTCTGTCATTTTGCATCGGAGCTTAATATTATCTGCATGGAACCAGAGAAAGAAACTCGATACTTTATTTTTCCTTCATCCTTAAAAGCTTTGTCTATTGCAAAAATGCACTCAAATCTTCCATAGCGGAAGCTCGTGGAGATGAGCGGGGGTTGTTTACTTTCCTAGGGGTGAACTACTTGTAGTGTGTAACAACTTAAGATTGTTTTTTGCTGTTGACGTCAGCAGCAGGGTTGAAAGTTGGGATGCCTAAGAGAAGACGTTAAGAGTAAGCGGCTGCTGAATGGTTCCCTACCCCCTCCGACTGCAGCCTTGTTCTTTGTGAGCTGGGTTTCCTTTGCTCTCTCCAAGGCACATTGTTAAGCGTGCATTGTAATGGTTACTGTTTCTTTCTATTGTTCTCAGCTTGCCAGCATTGGAACTGATCTCTTCGCATGTCATTCAAACCAGAAACGTGCTGAAGTACAGAATGAGAAAGAAACAAACTTTAAGAAAAAAGTGATTGCTTTTTAAAGTCTTTCCTTTAGAGAAATGATTTGGGTTTTTATTTTCCACATGAATTGTTTGGATCTGGAATGTTAGGAAAGCATTTTAAATTAGCCTTCAGTAGAGTTGAAGTGCTCAGTGTGTGTGCCTAAAGGAATCAGTCTTCAGGTAGGAATGAACTTTGAGGGAGGAGAGACCTGCAGAGGTAAGGCTGGCAAGTGGTCTTCTTCTGTTAGAAACCAAAACCAGAGAAAGGGCTGAAATAAAGCACAGAAGGATGCTGTTGTCAACTTTGTTGTTGGTTGTTGCAGAGGGGCGTGAATTAGGTGAAAGGAGATGGTAAGGGGGTTGTAAGCATTGCATATTTATATTGTCCCCAACGTGGGTCATACAGCACTGCACTTGGTGGGTGAGCTCAGCAGTATCATACTGCTAGAGATAAATCTTACCTGGCCATCTGCTCTTTCTTGGAAGTCTGATGTCTCCAGTCAGGGCCTTTGTGGGCTATTTCATATCCCTCAAGGAGAGGCTGAGACTGGCACTGTTTGGGGCTATCCCCACTGCTCAGGAAGCAAATGTTTCACACAACTCAAATCCAAGCTTACACCTTATGGAGTAAGGAGGTAGTTTGGGGGTGAGAATGAATTGGGACTTCATTAATCCAAGCTTTGCTATCATGTTGTTAACTTTAAACATTGTGCTCTGATGTGTATTTAGGGAGCTGTCTAGAAAAAAACTGATCCTGTAGTAAACCTAGAGGCTGTTTCCTGTTACATTCTGAGAGATGTGTGTTTGGGGGTGTTTCTTGGAGACCTGTTTGTTAATCTGCTGAACTCAAGTAGAACGCACAATATATTTACACTACTTTTTAAAGTGCTGCACTTATTGAGTGTTATTTTTGTACCAGACTGGTTTCCTTGTGGGCTGAGCCATGTCCTGTGTGTCGTACTTAATTTAAGCTGCACTTGCTTCACCAATGCTTTCTAATTGTATTTCTTTTAATACCACTTGTCTTTATATGATATTGCATGTTGAGAGATTTAAGTTGTTTCTTCATAACAGAGTTGGTAATTTTCTTCTCTTTTGTGTTTAGATCAAGATGGAGACTTGTCAGGGACAATTTCACTTGTTATGACACAGTGTTGTAAAAGAATAAAGGACACAGTTCAAAAACTGGCCTCTGATCACAAAGACATTCACAGCAGTGTATCCCGAGTTGGAAAAGCCATTGACAAGGTATGTGTTCTGTGGTTTGATGGTGTTATTGCATGCATTCTGTGATCTGTACTCCTTCACATTGTTGGGATTTGTGCTACTATTCATCTTAAGTCTTCCTGCAGCAGTGTAAGGTTGGAGGCAGACATAAGACCATGTGATGTGCAGCAGCACTTCAGAACTCCTACACAGAGTGCTCCATTTTGGAGCAGCTCTTCTTGTTTCCAAGAGGATGTGGCATAGAGGTCCTGCTAGACCTGGTAACAGAACATATTATATCTGCATAGCAAAATGCTTGCTGCAACATCAGTCTTGATAAGGAGCATTATTTATAGATGTGTATTTCAGTTCTGGTTAATGGTTGGTAGCGAATGACCAGGAAGTGGTATTCTGTTCTTGAAGGCAGCTTAGAAGCTGAGAGAATTTGAGACAGACATTCTTACATATATCAGATGTGTTGTTGGTTCTTAGGGCTTAATTTCACCAGATTTAGATTGAATTTACTCTACTTTCATTAAAAACAACTTTCAGCTGGACAAAAACACTTGTATCATTACAGAGCACTAATTCATCATTTAAATATCTCGTTTCAACTTTGTTAGTAATGGTAAGCTATTAAAGCATAATTTAACAATAGCACAACAAACTGATGAAGTGCATAATGCTGCATTGTGGGGCAGAATGTCTGTGCAGCTGTTAGGATTGTTTTGCTTATGATTGACCATCATGGAGAGCTCAAACTTTGTGCTAATAGCTTTAATCCAAGCATCACTGTTATCCAAAGCTTAAGGATGCATCTGCCTCTAATCCTTGCTGCTGTATCTAAACCTATTAACTAGAGTAAAATTCCATCCTTATTACTGGTGTGAAGCCTGAAATAAATCTATGTAATCTTGTCCTGTGTTTGAAACTTTTCTATTCTGTCTTATCAAGTGGACTTTGTATGAAAAGCTTTCAGATTTGGGTGTGCCTTTTTAATTTAAATACTCTGAGATATTTATACAGCCCTCGGTCTTGTATAAAGGCTGTAAATCTGCTGTGGAAATTAGTGGCAATACTCCTTAGAGGCTGAAGGAGACAATGCATACGAGCTTAATAAAGTTGAGACTTGAGTCTGATATTCAAATTGCTGCTGCTTTGTCATGTGCATAGTTCTGACAGTGTTGTTGCTGTCTTAGCGTTTTGTCTACTGGTTTCATTTCAAAAGAATGGCTGTAAATGAAAAAACATTGGTTAAATTTGAAATGCTTGGTTTTCTAAAACAGCAGAAGGGGATGCAGTGATCTACTCTGTGCCTGTACAGGGTCAGAAAAGCTGTTTCAGAGGGCTGTTTCAAATTGAGTTCAACTTGTACTATGTGGCCTGCTTGTTCCTCTGAATTCTTGCACTTGCTGCGTGTGTGTAATGTTTTCAACAAAAGGCTTCCAGTGGAAACTGCACCAGTCCCCAGTCCTGCTGGGAGTGAAGGACATGTTTCTGTGCAGTGCAGAGCACCGGTGAGGGTTATCTCCCTAGATAGCAACTGTTCAGCATGCAGGTAGTTTGGTTTTATCACTTCTCACTGGTTGTAGTTTCTCTGCTACTTGAAAATATGTCCTAAAATTCCAGCGCGTTTGTCAAATGAGTGTGTGATGTTTAAAACATGAACAGTAACACCTGAAAGGAACTTTCCATGTGTGTTCAGTGCATTTTCTCCATGCTGCTGGAAAACATGCTCAAAAACTATTGAAATTCCTTCTCCACACTGCTTCCCTATAATATACTTAAGCTGAAAATAATAGTAGTAATTAACTGTAATTGATGTTGCAAATTGATTCTTGACACATTGTGGACAAAATATTACTGATTCCAAAGTGAAATGCTTGTCTGAATTTAAGGAAGCTGCCCTTGTTTTGATTCACAAGATTTGAGTCCCGTTTGTTGTGTCTAAATCCTCACCCAGCATCTTCTCATTTAGTTTATGGCTGGATTAACATCTCTGGAACACCAGTTATGGTGGATGTAGCTGTGTTTGCTCAAGCATAAGTGTAACAGGATAAGTGTAACTATGATTTTATTGTCTGATTTGAGGTTGGGAAACAGGCTACTAATGGTGGTACCAATTTAATGTGACACATCCAAATGACAGCTGTTGTTACACATAGCATCAACAATCCTACTGAAAGAATTTGCTGTATTTTCTTCTTGTGGCAAACAGATATATTTTTTTTCCCAGTGTTGAGGAAGGGGTACATCTATATGTCAGTTTTAGTCTGGTCTGCATGTAAGTTGGTTTAGTCATTAATTACTAACTTGGATGGGACCCAATGGATTATGTGCTATCTTTGAAAAGGAATGTTTGCATCCACTTGCATCTGTACTGTAGCAGCATCTGCTCCTCTTCCAGTGTTCATCCACCTCCTTGTTGTTCAGCACAGTGTTAGCAGGTAGCTTACTCATCAGTCTCCCTGAACATCACTCATCTGCAATGACTTCATCCCTCAAACATGGATGAGACAACTAAATGGGGCAAGTAAATGTTTCCTCTAGCAACCATGTGAGCAGTAGTTGAATGCCTTCATTTAGGAAAGTTTTAGTAGTCTTTGCAAGTTGAGCATTATCTTGTGAACCAACAAACTGAACAGAGAACTTCTAACAGGTGTGTTGTGTTGGTGTTTGGGGTCAGAATTCAGAAGAAGGAAGGAATGCCCAAAGTAACCTAAGCTGAAAAACTGGCAAATGAAACTGTCTTCAGTCATCATTCATCTTCATATCATGTTATTAATAGGGAAGATTGCGTTGATTGAAATGGTTTGTTATATGAGTGTCTTGAGTCCTCATGTTTCAACAATTATCAGTAGTATATTTTTCTTTGTATTATTGGTAAATTTAGCACATAATACTCTACACCTTTCCCTTAGGCTTTTTAGTTAGGCTCCTTAAAGAGTGACTGCTGCTCTGCAATAAGAACTGACACGCTTCTAAGCTTTAAATTGAAAGTATAAAATAAACATGTTGGGGTCTGTAAGGAATTCATTTAACTTCTGAAATGCTGTGAAATTCCCCATGCCATCAGTTGGCATACTGTTGGTATTTAGAAAACAAAGCTAGGAGATGTGTAGTCATGAGCATCTAATGCTGGCATGACAATTATGAAATAAGTGAGTGAAAGGCAAGCAGTAATTTGTTCTGACATGTGACAGTCACTCACTGTGTTAAGCACTGTCAGTTCTTGAAACTGCTCAGGACCCACTGGAGGCAGAGCTGTAGGATCCCACATACCATAAAGAGCCTAGAAATCATTGTTTTTTTTTAGTTAAAGAAAAGTAATTGAAATGAGAGCCTGATCAAACATGGGTTCATCAGAGAACAGATGAGGGGGAGGAAGAAAATCATTTCTTGAGGTCCCTAGATTGTATTATATGACTTGAAGCTACAGCACTTCTAGGTTGGTGTGAGTCACTGTTACCATCTTTTATGGGATTAAAAAAAATCTAATTTGCAGTGGGGTTTTGAGAAGTTTCTCAAAGCTCATAGATTTATTTCATAATAATAAAAAATATATATATATTGTAAGTGTGCTGGAAGTTGAAAAGGAACAAAGAATAACTTCATTGATAATGAATCTTCTATCTCAGAAACCAAAGTAATGAAAAAAGAGCTTATATGTTCTCATATGTGCTGTCTCTGTTATTTGTTTAATACCTTCTCTATGGATTTGCTACCTGGTAGGGGTGTCTGGAAAGCAGTACCAGAATCAGCAATGGTATTGAACTGTAAAGGCTTCAAAGGATTGGCACAGATGAGAACAGTGTTATTTAATCTTCGAAATTCTTACATTTTTCACTACAAAGTTTAGAGATGAGCAGCATGGCAGGGAATTTAGAAGTTGAGACGCCTGTGTGGAAGTGTTAGCTCTGAGACTTGTCTGAATGACAGTGATTTAGATGCTTGTCTTGCCCCACCATCTCCAAAAGATGGAAGAGAATTTGCTAGCCTAAGGTGAGTGTTTTACTGAGGGTTTACAAAGGGAGTGGTGGCTTTGAAGCTGTGTGTGTGGGGCTGAGGAGGCTGCTCCTTTCTCATGATGCTGCAGAGCAGCATCAAAGCAGTTTCAGTCTTGGAGGCTGGCAGCTGAAGGGTGGGTAGGTATTTGCTACCTGTTAAAGCAACAGGTATAGCCATGTGGGTATTGTGAGGGAGATGTGTGATTAAAAGTGAGCCCTTCTGCCTGGAGGTTGGGTGGCTGAGTTAAGTCTGGGGCAGCTCAGATCGGAGCTCTGGGGCTGCTCCCTGAATTGGTGGGGAGGGTTCAGCAGAGTGCAGATCTGCTGTGTTTCCCTCTGCATATTTCTTTGTGTGGACTTTAGAGGAACTTTGACTTACTGTTTCGGCTGAAGTAAACTTGGGATTGATGAGGTGAAAGCTGCAAGGAGGTTGCTCTCTACTGTGTTGTGTTGTTGTTTTTTTTTTAAGAATCTCCTTCAAACTTGATCTCACTTCTAGAGCAGGTTAATAGGAGACTTCTGAGTGCTTCTGACAGCATTGCTCTGCAAACGTCTGTTGCCTGGTGTGTGTTGTCACAAAACATCATCTGACTTGTTGGGCTCTTTCTGAAGGTCAGAGGTATTGCAGCACTGGAATACAAAGTGCTGATCTAATGCAAACCCACTCTGTCGACTTGCATTTGTTTTGAAGCTGATTATCCAGCTCTGTACCAGCAGCCCTTACCCCAGGTTGGGTTTTGGCTAACCTGCTGTTCCAGTGTTAGCTGGCTGACAGAGAACTGGTGGTGCCTGGCTGCCAAACAGCTCGCACAAGCTCGGTGGTGTTTGCTGTGGCTGCTGTGACAGAGGTGAGTGCTTGTGCAGTAGAGGTGTTCCCACATGGTGCAGAGCTGTTATCATCACAGAACCAAAGCTGAAGCACTGCTAATATCACCAAACTTCTGGTTTCTGAAGTTACTTCCTAGAAGGCAGCAATAGTTACCAGGCAATCAGGCGATGCGCTGCCTGCTGGGCTCTGGTTCATTTGCAAAAAGTTTATTTTGGGCTATGGGTGTGGATATTTATTCAAATTATCTTGCATGCCCAGAGCACTAAACATGTTAGCAGTTAAAATCCTGTTTTATATCCTGAGTTAGAGTAAGCATTGCTCTCCCGTTGCCAAGAGGCACAGTGCCAAGTGTTACTAAAGAATCACTGTGACAACATTTTTACTCATTCCTGGAATATGTCCGTAGGCCACTGACCTAAAAATATGCTGCAATGGGATCACTGGGGTTAGATCTGCAAAAACACTCTGAGATCTTCAAAGTTCAGGTGCTGGTATATTGAGATCTGCAGAGATTTGGATTTCGTTATCATTGGGAGGCTGTGAAGATGTCAGTTGGGAAGAAGTGACATTTTTCTTTTCCAGTATTTCTGCTCCCCCCCAGTTATGTCAGAAATTCTTGAGTTAAAACTTTTACTTCTAATTTGGTGCCCCGTTGTGACAGTGATGCATTGATAGTGCTATTTTGATTTTAACGTGGGCGATTTTTGTCTTCTGTTCTTATGCTGTTCAGTTTTCATGTATGGAAAAACTCTTCTGCAGATACTTTCTGAAGAAACACATTGCAGACTGGAAGTCTCTTTATTAGCTCGCTCCATTTCTCATTTGCTAGCTAACTTGTAATTTATCAGTGTAGTTCCTTATGGTGGATAATATTGAGACGTGAGATGAGCAAGCCAAAGGATGTCTTCTGTACACAGGAGATAATGAAGTGGCTGACAGATACATTTTACTTTGAACAGGAGGTAATTAAGGGCAAACTGAGTAATAGGCAGAAAGCACTGGAGTGGAGACATAGGTGTCCTGCATAATGTGAGAAAAATTACTAGGGTTCTTTGTTCCAACCTATTAAATGTTAATTTGTACCTTTCAGAACTTTGACTCTGACATCAGCAGCGTGGGGATAGATGGGTGCTGGCAGGCTGACAGCCAGCGGATCCTCAACGAGGTGATGGTAGAGCACTTCTTCCGGCAGGGCATGTTGGATGTGGCCGAGGAACTGTGTCAGGTAATAAGTGTGGATGTTGAATGTTATTGAATGTGAAGCATTATGCTTTGTGATATCATCCTTATCTGAATGCTGGTTTTCCAGGTGAATATTGAAACTGTCTGAAAAAAACAGCAGTTTAATTGTGTCTTTTTTAGGCTTTAACCTGAAGTGTGCCTTTGTTTTTCAGGAATCTGGTCTATCAATAGATCAGAGTCAGAAAGAACCATTTGTGGAATTAAATCGAATATTGGAAGCATTAAAAGTTAGAGTTCTGAGACCTGCATTAGAGTGAGTCTGCTCATTTTTTTCCTCCTTTTTACAAATTCTTTTAATAAATTCATAGTTTTTCACTTTAAATATTATCTTTGTTTTGATGTGTCCTCATTTGTTCTTTGTGACATCTTAATTATTGAGCACGTTTTCCAGTTGTTCCCTTGTTATCCCTCCCAATGGCCAATGCTTAACTAAGAAAGGGACCCTTAGAGTCATAGAATCATAGAATTGCTGAGGTTGGAAAAGGCCTTAAAGATCATCAAGTCCAACCACAAAGGATTAAGGGTTAATTTAAGCTCTGGGGAGGAAAATTAATTTAGAGAACCTGTGATCTGCCATGATGGTTCTTTACTATAGTCACAGTGAAACACTAGTGAACGTTATGCACAAAGGTCCAGCTGTCAAGGATAATAGGACTTAATAAAGGTGTTGGGTGTCACCAAGTCTTCTTTGCTTCACCAAGCACTGGTGGTGAGCAAAACTTAGATTCAGGATCAACTGTATCACTTTTTCCTCAAGCCAGTTCCCTGTTTAGTGTAGATAAAGACTGAGAAGAGGGAATGAAAGGATATATGTGATCTGTAAGGACTACTGCTGCCAGGTAGGTGATCATTAATATCATAATATGTCCCTGATAGCTAGAAAGTGTTTGTGGTGCGTCAGTTGCAGGTGGAAGCGTGAAAGTGTGATCTGAACAAAACAACTCAAGGAGTCCAAGAGTTGGAGGTTCTGTCTGAGCATTCAGCATTACCTGAAGTCTGAGAGTAGCTGAGATGTTATCAGTCAGCCTTAGACTAAAATATTTTCATCAACCACTAGATGTATAAGATGGTGCTATAAGGGAAAGATGATGAAATATCTCATGGTTTTATAGTTTCCAGGAGTGGGTATGTATCTATGCTGTACAAATCAGAGCAACTTTTATTTTTAAAAACAATAAAGTACCAAACCAACCCTCAGCCTATTCTTGTGGCTTTGGTAAGCTTACTCAAAAGCAAGAAAAAATAAAATAGCTTTTTAGCAACATTTTAAAAGTAAGAGACATGGAACAAAACATTGAAAATGTATTTCATTCTAGATCTTAATTTGTACACTTAAAATGCTTTTTTTTGGGGGGAGGGTGGGGGGGTGGGCATTATTTGGCTAACTAAATACTTAACTGAAATGTACTTGAATGCATTTTTCCACTTTTAACGTGAGCCAGCTCAGGTGTATGTCAATTCAGAGGTTATTGGCATCCACACTAAATGTAGGATGCTCTGATATCAAGCCTGAAGTAAAATCCTGGAGTACAACTCTGAGTCATGCAAAGTTTGACCTGAATAATCTTTGCATATAGTTACACAGGTGGAAAGCTTAGCTGGTTTATTGCCATTGCATTGGGTAAATGAAGGGAAGCAGCACTGCAATGCTTTGTGATACAGCTGAAGCAGAATTTAATGTTGGCTACACCACATACTGCCTGAAGGATGCTCTCTCTCTGAGGAACAGTAAATTATTGCTATTATGTCCATCTCCCTCAAGTCACTAAGTTTGCTTTAGCTCAGATTACCCAGGCCCTGTGTCTTATTCATGGCATTTTAGCCACATTGTGTCATTCCTGCAGTGTGTTGAATATTTTTCAAACAAAGGAGAAGGCATGGTCCTTCTTCAAAGGAAGCCTTATTCTCTAGACAGCTGAATTAGAGGGAGAATAGAGTGTATTGTTAGTTCAATTTGTATGCTGGCTTTCCTCCCCCACCCTGCCTCATTTCTGCTTATAGTGTGACTTTATAGGGCAAAAACTCTCTGCCTCCATTTGCCTGGTGTTGGGCACAAATGCTTTTGTAAAAAATGTGGCTGTTAGGACAACGAAAATGTGACAAAACTCTATCCAGCTTAAGGACTGAGCTGTGTCTCAAAATGCTCTTATTCCTCAGCATTGCTGATGTGGATGAAGTAGTTTTCCATATTTCTCAGCAGTGATCACGAGGAACACTCTTTGTGAAGCTTTGATGGGAATAACTGGCAGGTTCAGAACTTCTGACTGTAGTCTCCCAGGGAATAGGCGTTATCATCCTCTGTGTCTGTAAAGCAGTAAGGTCTTGGTACTCATTGTGACCTTTGGGACATGGTTTAAGCTTACTTTAACTTTGTCAGGCTTTGTGAGGTGCATCCTAACTAAATTCCACATAGGAGCTAGAAGAAGCTGTGGTTTGCATAGTGTACAGTATACTTCAAAAATTTCAGATTGATTTGAGTCACAGAATTGAAAACACTCTGAAAGTATCATTTTGAGAGGTGTTAGGAAGACAGATGTTGTGATTACTGATGATTCTGAACTGTGGTGGGGAGTATGTGAGTTGAATGTTTTAGCCATCATTTGCTGCTTTTTCTCTTTCTATTGCAAATCCTTTGAATGGGAATGGAACATGCTAGTCCAAACACCTCAGGCCTTGCTTCTGTGTTTGTTTTCTTCTCATCCAAATCAGTGCTGCCACTCAGAGAACAAAAAAACAGAAAGCTTGTCTAAAAGCTAGTTTGCAATAGAGGCTGTTTTTCCAGCCAGTTGAAAATAACACAAATCGCATTTTTAGCAGTGCCAAGTACTGTGTCCAGACTGATTTCTCCTCCCCTTGTACCTGAAGTGCATGGACTTGTTCTTTGATGCTTCCATAGATGAACTTCCCCTCTCCAGGGCAACGTACACACAAACACAGTGGCTTAGCAGAAGATGTTGGGGGAATGAGGAAGTTGGAAAATATGTTGTTGAAAGTGTTGGTCAAACTTGTATGGCTTGCAGCAGAAGACTGTACTATTAAGATTCAGTGATATTAATTCTAATATAGGAATTAATTTCAGCTATTTCTACCTTCTATTGTGCCTAAATCAGTCTTGCTTTCCAATTGCTGTTTTAGAAGGCACAGGCTAACCTGCAGAACTAAAGTATGTTGTACATGTATTGTGCATGCAGTATAAGTCCTACTTGTAAAAGATCTTACTCTTTTCTGTGCTCCACGTAGGCTAATAGAAGTTCAAGGAACAGTCACCTTCTTGAAATAGATGTTTGATAATTGTAATAATTTGATATCGTGTGGGCTGACATTTAATTGCTCCTGTGTCACGTCCCTTTGTACCTCCTTGTTTCTTCCAGGTGGGCGGTATCCAACAGAGAAATGCTTATGGCACAGAATAGTTCACTGGAGTTCAAACTACACAGATTATATTTCATTAGTTTATTGATGGGTGGAACAGCAAATCAAAGAGAAGCACTTCAGTATGCGAAAAACTTCCAGCCATTTGCCATAAACCATCAGAAAGGTAAGGTTTTATTCCCCTCGTTGTGACCAAGGCACTTGGAAGTGACATGTGGTAGTTAAATACAAATCATGTTCCAAGTGTGTTTTTGGTCATTATTTTCACTTATTTTCATTGCACACTGGGGCTCTCATAGGTGGAAGTGTCTGTTCTGTGATGGCTGGAATGATAGGTTGTAGAGGTGAGGATATGTGTTGTTTTGGTATATCTTCCACTTCTTCCCATTTCTCTTGTACAGTCTTAAAAGTGAAGATGCCAGCTTCTATTCATAGCATAATACAACTAACTGTTCCTGGTCCCTCACAGATATTCAGGTTTTGATGGGCAGCCTGGTGTATCTGAGGCAAGGCATAGAGAACTCGCCGTACGTTCATCTATTAGATGCAAATCAGTGGGCGGACATCTGTGACATCTTCACAAGAGATGCCTGTGCTCTTCTGGGTCTCTCAGTTGAATCACCACTCAGTGTTAGGTATGCTGCTTTTTGCTTGCTTTTAAGACCTAGTACATAGAGTTTTGGTTTCTGTTTCTAATCGAGGACAAAATAAATGCTGACAAGTAGTCTTATTTAGCTCGTGTGAAGTAGAGTGTGGTTACAGTTAGCTCCAATGAGATTTGCAAAGATGTGAATGATGAGAGATTCTGGTGTGCTGGGCTTTTTCAGCTGGAGAGGAAGCATCTTTTCAGCTCAAAAGGAAGCGTTCATGGAAGGATCTTGGCTTCTGTAGCTTAGACAGAAGGATGAGGATGGCCATTAGCCATTTATTTCTACAACAAGTGTGTGAGAATTGTTCCTGCTGTGTAACCACAAAGCACTAAAGCTCCAGCCATGATTCTGTCAGCACTTGATCATCTCTTTTTAATCCACATGTTTATTCACCTGTCTTCTCCTTACAAGAGTGTTTGAATCAGGTTGTGATTTTAGCTGCTCAAATTTCCAAACTATTTGTTGGCCCTCATTTGCAAAGAATAAAGGCACTTTGAAGCCCAGTAGCTAATCTGACAAAATGCAAATTGATAGTAGGCTGTCAGAAATGTTAAGAAAAAGCAGTTTAATCTCCTAGCTTTTCAGAAGATAATACAGATCAGCTGCTATTTAACCTTTGGCTGCCAATTGCCTGATGTTCTAATTTCTATTTCAAGCATTTAATGGAAAATAAATTACGTGCATCTTTTAGGACTAGTTTCAGTACTCAGCAGAAGCTTCCTTAGCTTCCTTACCTCTTCCTGGGTTTGTTTTTTAACTACTATTTGCATTTTATTATTCTCCTTTAGAGCTCTGTTTGAAGTTGTCCTACCTTCTGCTTCTCCTGTTTCACACCTCTGTCATAAACTACAACAAAGGGAGTGCTTCCACATGAGTTGTTTTCCTGGAATAAACAATGCCAATTTCAGTTGGGAGGATTTTATAGATAGCCTAAATTATGGATATCTATAACTTTGGTTGTTAGTTCTTATTTTGTTCCTGTTGCAGTGAAATAAGTAACCATCCATATGCTTTCCTTTTGTGCTGACACTGTAATGCTGCAGCTCTCAGTGCAAGTGTCTGAGACTTTCAATGAAGTGAAAAAATCCCTCATATTTGGATCTATTGGTCTCTTGGTTTGGGCCCAATATGAATTTGATTGTGCTGAAACATGTTTACTGCACGGGTGGTATCGATGTTCCTGTCATAAATAAGGCTGTTTGAAACTGAAGTGACCTTTGGTGCTGCAAATCCTTTAAAACTTAAACTAGCTTAAAGTGAAATCCATGTTATCAAATGTACTGCTTTTTAGAATGTTGATAGCAGTCACCTGCTGTAGTTTTCTTTTAAAGACTGATTGTTTTTTCAATATGTGTCTAATTCAGGTCTTATTTTCTGAATTACTCTGTGGAGTCAATAGGAAAACTTAGTGAATTGAGGAGATCATTGTTCAGGGTCTTGAAGGACAACAGGATGCCAAATTGTTATTCACATTTATGTTTTACTTGAATTGTTAGACATTCACTGGACTCATCTAGAGATGTAGTGTAGAACAGTTAAAGCAGTAGTGCTTTTATGATACCACCTGTATAAACTGCCCAAAGAGTTAACACAAGTTACTCAGTGCTGACACCGACAAAAAGCCAAGTGCAAGGAATGAAAAAGCCAGTCATTAGGAGAGGCACTTGATTTCATTTTTCATTAAAATACCAAGCAGCAGGCTGGCAGGCTTCAGGTACATCCCTCATAAGAAAACTAGCCACAGTATTGCTGTAGAAACCTTAAAAATAAGTATCTGGAGGAGCAGAGGAGAGGAAGATCATGATAATAAAACATGCACAAATAACAAAATGATTTGCCAGAGAAGCAGGGTAGGCTGATAAATTCTTTTCTGTTGTTCCTGATTTCCAGGTCCGAAGCACTTTTGTTAGACTGAAGTTATTGTCCATCAAAATGTCTGTTAAATTGTCAAAAATCATTGTTAATGCTTTGAAGTATTTTCCTTAAAGTAATGTGGGAAGTTCTGGAAATTGGTAGCTCTCAGAGCAGGCAGAGTGTTAAGGCACTGCCATGGTACAGCTGTATACTGCTGCTCTTGTTCCAGTCACTGCACGTTGTGCTTTCCTTCCTTCTCTTGCCTGACAATATTTCCCTACATTTGTTTTCTTTCTTTACTCAGAAGCATGGACACAAATTGAATGAAGTAGTATAACACTGTTGTATCTAGAAGTTTTTTAAAATAGAAATACAAGAAATAGTAATTTGCTAAAACTCACATGTTAATTTTTTTTCTGCAGTTTTTCAGCAGGTTGTGTAGCATTACCAGCTCTAATTAATATCAAGGCAGTTATTGAACAAAGGCAGTGCACTGGTGTTTGGAACCAGAAGGATGAACTACCGGTGAGTTAACGCTGAGCTGTTATGGGGCAGATGGATCTCTAATGGGGAAATGCAGGTTTCAGGCTGCTTGTGTGCTGAATGGTAAGGGATGTCATACATAACCACCAGCTCCAGCAACTTCAAGGTCTGAGGTTTCTTATACAGAGACTTCAGGATCTCTGGTCAGGCTGATCACAGAACCACAGAATGGCCTGGGTTGAAAAGGACCGCAATGATCATCTGGTTTCAACCCCCGTGCTGTGTGCAGGGTCATCAACCAGCCTGGCTGATGACTTGACTGCTGCTTTTCTGTTTGTAGGCTCAGCCCATAGTGAAGCTGAACATGAATCACCACCCATACTTACTTGCACAAGGGCCACTGGTATGACCAGCTGTGCAGGCTGCCTGCACAGGCAAGGCACTGCCTTCAGCAGCACCCACTTACAGGACTTGCATAAAACATAAGCATGGACAGCTGAGTCCCCTTCCTCTTCTGTAGTTGATAAAGTTTGAATCTCACTGAGGAACGTGAACTTCCTCCAATTAGGCTTGAGATCTGTTCATAGGCTGCTTTGCATTGACACTTGATCAGGTAGATTTGAAGTAAAAGATGTAATGCTGGATCTGTGTCTGGAGGTATACACTGGGATCCAGTGCATTATGCTTCCAGCACAACTCTTGAGTTAAAAGGAAGCTGATTTGTTATGAAATCCTGTTTTCCTTTTACAGCCTTTACTAGGCTCATGCAGCTCTCCAGTGACCTGCTCCTGATTTGGAAATAAATCCTGTTTAGTGCAAACTGGGCATGGACTCAGTTAGCCTCACTGATTGTAGCTAGAAGAGATTCATATGTAGCTTCGGTGCATGTGTTAAGTTTTTGCTCAGCTGTTTTTTTGTAACAGTGAGAGTGGAACCCTCAAGTGTGCACATTCGAGTCCTGCAGTTGTCAGTCCTTTCCTTAAGTCATGTATGTGCTCTTTTCTATTTGAGGTGTTCCTTTCTGAAGTCATTTAGTGCTGATGGCAAGAGTATTTTTGCACCAGTGTTTTCTGTGTTACTGCTGAAGAGAAATGATTCTGATGCACTTTAATATTGATGGGATTTCTGGGTGAGGGGGAAGTCTTTTAGGAAGCTGCAGAAATCACTGGCTAGAAAGTACAAAATGCCTTGTTGGGTCATCAGCTCAGTTTTCCTAACAGAGCACAGATCTACACTAAAATATACATCTGTCTTTTGTCAGAATACTCTGCTTTTTTAGGGAGTTGGGAGGGAGAGCAACGTAAATTACCATTTTAAGATCACAATGAAGTGTTTTTGACTGGGAAGTTGTAAAGCAACAACATGATGGTCTTTGCTGCCCACAGTGCTGAGTTACAGTTCTTAAGATATTTGTGACATAAAGGAATAATTGTCTGGAAATGTTGCTTCTCAAGATAAATCATCTTCATTTTTTTCACAGATTGAGGTGGACCTTGGTAAAAAGTGCTGGTACCATTCAATATTTGCTTGTCCCATTCTCCGTCAGCAAACAACAGATAATAATCCACCTATGAAATTAGTCTGTGGTCATATTATATCAAGAGATGCTTTGAATAAAATGTTTAATGGCAGCAAGTAAGTACCATTTTTTTTGCATTCCAAGCAAAGTATAGAGAATGATGAATCTTAAGACTGGAGTGTGGCATTTGAGGAAAGCTGTATCCCCAGTTCCATAACTGGTGGAAGCTTGTAAGTCTTGGAGTATGACTTTGAAATCAGGTGGCTGAACTGATGTGCTGGAGAATAGCATAAGAAACCCGCTGATGTTGTAGAAAGGGATTACATGAAGGAATGTAGTGAACAGAGTAATTTTCCAAGCTGCAAATGCCACCATGTCATCACAAAATTCAAAGAGAGACTTCTGCATACCTGTTTTTTCACTGGAAGCAAGGCTTGTAATGGTGGAAACACCCTTTAAAGTAGGCAAGGGAAGTAAACTTGTGAGGAGATACGGCTTAGCAATTGAGTGGGTAGTTGAATTATCATGCCCTGGTAGCTACAGGCATTTGGAAAGGAGGAAAACTGAGGGGAGAGCTGTACAGATTTCCTTCAGGAAGAAGGTAATGTGGATTGAATGTATGCAGCTTCTGTGAAAGCTGTTGGCTTAATTTAGAGCTCTTGGTTGTTTTGTGACATCCAGTATGAAAATAAGCGATACTGTGATTGAAAACATTGAGTAATGTTTGCATGCTTTGCTCTGTTTAAAAAAACAAACAAACAAAAAAAAGGGAAGGTATACTTTTGAGATAACTTCATCCGTTTTTAAGCCGGTAAGCTTACTCTGTTATGTTATTCCTGTCTGTGGTTACTCATTCCTGATGCTTTTATTCATCAGTTTTAGTAACAGAACAGCTCTGACAAAATTAACTTTGGGGAATGAAAGATGCAAACTTAGAGATAGGAGGAAAATGCATCAGTGCTAGAAGAAATGCAGTGAGCAGATGGAATTGTGCTGGTGGAGACCTCAGCAGGGAGGCCAGGCTGACCTATTTAGCCATAGCCTGCAGGAGCTGATCTGTGTGGATTGAGAAATGACAGCATTTTGGGAATCCGGGAGTAAAACTGACTGGATGTTAATGAAGTCACACTGAAAGCCACCAGCCTGCTTACAGTGGCTTAAATGCAACAAACTAACCCCAAAACTTAAATAATAGATTAACTGTGAAGAATAATTTCCTGGTATTTAATAATTCAGAGGTGAGTGGGTAGAAGGTGAGAAAACATAATTAGAGGAAAAAAAGATGGAATAAGGTTTCTTTCTGTGAAAGGTAACTTTTAGCAGAGCCTTCAAGTATTTTTGTTGCGTGCTGCTGGGAGAAAAGAGGAAGGACTGTCACTGCCAATCTGATACCTTTGTGGTGGAGGAAGAAGCTTAGTGCTTAGCTGTGTTTCAGCAGTGCTGAGTCTCCAGAAAGCACACTGCTACCAGGCTTCTGTCTGCATTACCACCATTCTAACATGTTGTCTTTGTCCCCAGATTAAAATGCCCCTATTGTCCGATGGAACAGAGTCCTGGAGATGCCAAACAGATATTTTTCTGAAGAAAAGCTTCGTTATGCGGTTTGTAAGTGACACTCTGCAATTCAGGTGCATTTTGGGAGAATTAAAACACACCTGTTCCATTTTATGCAGCAGACTGAGGACTCCTATGTTTGTATAAGCTAATGCTACAGAAACTTTGCCAACATTTAGTATATACATACCAAGTGGAAATGCTACAGAAATATTATTACCATAGGGCTTTACTATACTCTTGGTCTCCATATCTGATCAAGTTACTACACCAGCAGTTGTCATTCAATGCAGGTTTTTGTACTCAATTATATGGTGACTTTTTACTTTTTAAAAGCAGAAATGGATCACCCCCATTTGTTTAATATTCCTCCTGCTATCATCTATCAGTAACTGTCACCTTAGAGAATGTTTGTGGAAGAAGTTTTATTTCCTGTAATGTGTACATAATTAAAAGTAAATACTTCAGAAAAAAAAAAGTTTGATAAATTGAATAGTGGTTATAAAACTAATTTGTATTTTTTTTGCTGAAAGAGCTGTGATATATTCTGAGTTTTTCTTTCAAACATTTTTTCAACTTTTACATAGAATTCAAAGTAAATGTGCATATATATAAAATATATAAATATATAGCCCTAAGGGGCTACCTGTTAAAATCCATCACTAATTTATAAGGGTGATGTGTGGATAGATTACTGCTGGAACAGAAGGAATAGGAAATCCTGTTCCTTAGGTTTCAAATGTTTGTGTAAAAGAATACTCAATAAAAGGAAATTCTGAAGTGGAAATGCTTTTAGTCGATGACGTTTGCTCTCTGGCCTTCGTAGTCATGTTCTTTGGACTTTGTATTCAGGATTAGGCTATAAATGTCATGTTGCTGTATAGTTTAATAGTCATTATAGTGTGCTATTTATAAACAGTTATCAAAACCAAATAAATTGTATAATTATTCATTGTTAATTGGGGGAAAAGCATGTTCTGATGCAGTCTTCTGGTCACGGCGCTGCACTTGGCAGAATTGGGCCCTACGTCACGTATTAGAAGGTAGCAAATTTTCTGTAGCTTGAGAACACTTTGCTTCTAGCCTTGTTTTTGTAGTAGACTATTACTGCCATTGCCACTTTTTCTGCTAAATTTGTCATATTGTTGACTAGGTAAATTTGTACTCATGAACAAGGTGTAGATCATGGCAGTTCAATCTTTTTCTAGTGTGCAGACATTTGTATTTATTGCACTGTCCTATAGTAGGGCAAGCAGCCATAAGGCATGCGAAGCTACATGTAAATTCTATTCCTGTATTGTGGAGTAAAAACCCAAGCTTACATGGTTGAATTCTGACACACTGGTTGAATGCACTAGCACAATGCACTACAAAGAAGACCGTCTGTGAGACATCTCCACCTTTTGAATCTGTGTGTCACCTGACTTGAGAGACTGAGTTGGACTCTGTCATATCAGTGACAATGGACATCCTGAAAGAGACACTAAGAGCACCAAGTCAAGGCGCACACGTTTGGAGCCTGAAATGTGTTTGGTATGTGTGAACAATGCAGGTGTGTGACTTTCTGCAAAACTTCTGTTGTATTCACACTGAATTCCAACCAACCAGGTTACCGAGTAGTAAAACTAACAATAAACAGGTGAGGATATTATTTTCCATGTAGGTTTTCTAGTCTTGGTGAAATTGTTTTCCATCTTTTCTTTTGCATGGAGTTGCTTTGTATTGAAATGTGATGACATATGCACTAAATGGGAAAAAAAAAAAGAAAACAGTTCCCTCCTCCCCAAGGAGTTGCTCTGTTCTCAGAATCACAGAATGGCCAGGGTTGAAAGGGACCTCAAGGATCGTGAATCTCCAACCCCCTGCCACATGCAGGGCCACCAACCTCCACATTTAATACTGGACCAGGCTGCCCAGGGCCCCATCCAATCTGGCCTTGAACACCTCCAGTGATGGGGCATCCACAACCTCTCTGGGCAGCCTGTTCCAGCACCTCACCAATCTCTCTGTACAGAACTTCCCCCTGACATCCAACCTCAATCTTCCCTCCCTCAACTTAAAACCATTTCCCCTTGTCCTGCTATTATCTACCCTTTCAAAGAGTTGATTCCCCTCTTGTTTGTAGGCTCCCTTTATGTATTCAAATGCTGCAATGAGGTCACCCCACAACCTTCTTTTCTCCAGGTTGAACAAGCCCCGCTCCCTCAGCCTGTCTTCGTAGGGCAGGTGCTCCAGCCCCCTGATCATCCTCGTGGCTCTCCTTTGGACCCTCTCCACCAGCTCTCTTTCTTTCTTGTACTGGGGGCTCCAGACCTTGACACAGTACTCCAGATGGGGCCTCACAAGAGCAGAGTAGAGGGGGACAATCACCTCCCTGTCCCTGCTGGCCACCCCTCTTCTGATGGAGCCCAGGATACCATTTGCCTTCCAAGCTGCAAGGGCACACTGCTGGCTCATGTTAAGTTTTTCATCCATCCGGATCCCCAGGTCCTTCTCTGCAAGGCTGCTCTCAAGGACTGCTCATTCCTGTCTGTATGGATGCCTGGGATTTCTCTGCCCCAAGTGCAAAACCTTGCACTTTACTGTGTTGTTCTGTCATGGTTGCTCATGGTTTGGTGCTCGTGTGAACATAAGCCCATGTTGAAAATGCCTCTGATGCAGTTCTGAGTACTAAAATGGCTGCTATTAGATGGCAGTGCATTGGAAACATTCTGAATTGAATTTCAAAGTGTGATCCTGTTTTCTAAATAGTTCACATAATAGACACATAGCTAGCTTAGTGTTGACTGTTAGTCCCAGATGACTGCAGTTCTTTCCCCAGCTGTGTGCTTGCTAGATAACTGCTTGCAGTTTTGAAGCTCCACCAACAGATGATGCTCGTTGTCTGAGTACAGAGAGCTTATGTGCATGAGGCATTGGGATGTGGTGCTGGGTGGTTGTGAGGCACTGCCTGCACTTTGGTTCTTAGAGCTGCTTTTTATTTATCTCCTGCTACTGCCTGAATTGTTTCCTTTGCTCAAAGAGTAAATAATAATATGAGGCTTTCTTATTTCAGATCTGATCAGCAGCCAACGTGTCCATTTTCACTATTGCAGTGGAAACATCCACAGTGTTTTTAAAATCAAATACTTCTGCTTATGCTTCTAAAGCATTTTAAAGTACTGCAGTTGTCCCTGTTGTCCCTGAGCTTCTATATCAAATTTTGATCCCCTTGCACTGCAATAAGACTGCGAGGAAGGTTCTGTATGTATCCACATCACTGTAACTGCTGCCTGCTGCACTGGACTTGGAGCTGCAGTGAAACTAGCAAATAACCTTTGACTTCAAGTGCTTGTTAAAAGCTATTGGATGTTTTCCTGGTACTGTGACCGTGGCGTTGTAACAAGTCTGTGTCCTTTGGCTCCTTCAGCCCTGTCCGTGATCTGCTGCTCTGTGAGGTATTTGTGAATAAGGAAACTCTTTTCCTGCAGGGTCTTCAGTGCTGTAAATTGCAGGCTGTTCATTCAGCAATGCCTGCTAAAAATCAGTGTTTCTCTGCTGAAATACTATTGATTTGACTCTTCTGTCCATAAGTCAAGTTAATAACTTGCATAGCAGCTGCAGCAAAAGCTATACATTAGAAGGAATGAGTTAGAGCTTTTGATCCCTGCTAACTTAGATTTCACTCCTCCTCCTGTTGCTTTCATTCTTTATCGCTGTTGCTAAACTTCAGCCTTCAAGTTATTTATGGCTGCTTAGAGCCAACTCAACACATTTAACAGAGCAGTAAGTTTGGGTTTGGTTTTCCTTGCAAGATTAGTTTGTCTACCTCAAAATACTGTTTTCTTCTCTCTGCTTTTCCTGCAGAGACTGGTGTGTCTCTGGAAATGTTATGCCCTATAAACCATCCCCATTCTTGTGCTCTTCCTTCCAGCATAGGGAACAGTGCTTTGAGAACAGAAGAAAAGGATGAGAGAGCACCAGAGATGATCTATGATGAGTAAAGATGTAATGCAGTGTTGGGTTACTACTCAAAACTTAATGCAAGCCTCAATATTTATGCACAAGAGAAGTGTGGTTTAACAAGATGTGTGAGATAACAGTCTGTCGTTCGTTGCCAGCTGCCTTTGAAAGTTAAACTTTTGCTTTTTCCTCCATGATTTTCAATGTGTGGGTTAACTTTAAGGATAATGCCTTGTTTTCTCCATGCCTGTGTTAATGGCTGGCTGTGCATGAGCTCTGCCTTTATGGTGTGCATTTGTGTAGCAGTATCAATAGGTTCCATAGAGCAGCACGGCTTTATCAGCACATTCCAAATACAAAGCCCTGGTAGTCTGGCCCAGTTTGTATTCTGCTTTGCAACGAATGTGTTTTTTCCAAGATCTGGTGGGTTACTCTGAATGTAGCTTAGCAGCACAGTGTCAGTGCAAACTGCAATGAACTCAGTGATGGACAGGTCATGCTGACCCTGTGTGTCGAGTAGGTTGTATACGAGATAAATCAGAAACAAGAAACCTCTTTACAGGAGAGTCATATTTTACTGCCTCTACTGTGTTTTTCAGGTCTCTGTCACTATTTCTTTTCCCTTATTGTACTTTTTCTGTCCAGAATGCTGAAGCAACAGCATGGTATGGTTCCACAGGGTGCACATCATGTGCCAGCTTTAGTCCCAGGAATCTGGGCTGAGCTTCAGTGCCTGTTCCCACTGAGCCGTGAATTCTGTGTTCAGGAGGGAAATTGCACCTGGCAGCATTGATGTTTTTCCCCAAATGTTGATTTCATGTGCAAGTTAAGATTCTTTACAGTGTATGCTGCTTCCAGGTCCTTCACTACACTCATCTGTGGTGTTGGGATGGCTTTGGCTGCGTCAGTCTCCCTCCAGGACCAGGATCTTGGTGCAGCCCTGTACAGTGGAGCATCTGTATAACATCAGTAGCTGCTAATGTCCAAATATGCATATTTCACACTACTTAGAGTGTTGCTTTCCTGTGCTTTGCCTGCTTTTCCCTACAGGATTGACCTGTGGGGGCTCTCGTAGCAGCAGAGCTGTACTAAATATTGCACACATGGATTGTTTTGTTTTAAGTAGTAGCAGAGCATACAGGGGAAAGCATACAGAGTAATGCTTCTGCCAGGTTCTCTGTTGAGTGTTAATACCTTTATCTCAGTGTATGTCACCTACCATGTTGTGCACACAGCCAGGTATCTGCAACCCATAGGGCTAACATCAGTGCGAAGAGCTGCTGCATGAGACATGCCAGCTGTAGAGCTTCATCTTTTCATCTGCCTGAGCTGCTTGCACTTTTCTGAAGCGCTTTACAGTTAAATACCACACCTGGTTTTCTGTTCGGGAGGCGTTTTGTATTTCTTTAGTTAGGATTGCTTTTTATTTTCTTACATCTCAGTACCTGTGTGGCTGTGTCTGTGCCATGTGAGGCACGAGGGTAATTCCTGCACTAGAGTTGCACTTGGTATGGGAACCACCTGAGCTGCTGGGAGAGGATTTTTGGGGTAACGTCGTTGGAGCATTGCCTGCTGGGTTACAGGAGGGTGACTGCATGTAGTGCACGTGGGGCTGCGAAAAGCTACAGTGCAATGACTGAGAACAGTGAGGAAACAGCTGTAGGGGATGGTGAAGCAGTGATGAGCTTTAGATGTGCTCATTTACTCTCTTTTTTCAGTTTAGTATGATAGAAACTAAGCTGAAAAGCTGCTTCTCTCTCAGCTTCTCTCATCCCCATCTGTCCTGCTGTCCTGTCGTGTCCCCCCCCACCTCTGCAAAGAGCATCATGTTCTTTGTTTTTCCCCAGGCCTTTATCAGCCCCTTGGAGACAACACCAAAGTGTTTACCTCCTCTGCCTTCATGGTGCAGGGGAGTGTTTCTGGGCCCGTCCTGCGTCTCCCTGAGAAAATCAATGCAGAGATTGTCTCAAGGCTGCAGTAATTTGGAACCTAAACTGCAGCGTCTGATGCCCTTACACGTGACTGCCTCAAACCCTCAGTTAAATTTTCACATGGAGTTTTGGCTTCTCTGAGGCTAGAAAGCGAAGAAAGAAAGAAGCATTAGTGAATCTATCTGGAAACATTGCTTTATTTTATCTCAGGTGTTGACATGTCACTGTAATGAGGAAATATTTACATCAGGCATAGAGGTGAAACAATAAACAGAACTCTCACTCACAGTGCCCCAAATATGCTGAAAGTCCTGCTTAGCCAAAGCAGGTAACAGAGGCTGTTAATTTATTAATACTGAACCATTTATTCCAGAAAGAAGGGAAATCCCACTTTGTGCCCAGGTGGAAGTGCTGAGCACAGTGGGTGTGGGGCTAGCAGCAGGATGAAGGGAGCAAAGGGGAAATAGGAAACTTCAGCCTGCAGGAGTATAAACCCCCCAAAAGTGCAGCCCTTATATCCATGTTTGCTTTCTCAGTGCAGCCCTGTGTTATATGAGATGAAACTTTGCTCAGAGCTGGGTTAGATGGGGCCCTTGGCAGTCTGACCCAATAGTGGCACCCAGCCCATGGCTGGGGTTGGGATGTGATGGTCTGTGAGGCCCCATTCATCCTGAGCCATTCTGAAACTCTGAGGGGGCTGCACAGCACCACAAAAAAGAGGGCAGATGTCCAGTCAATATCCTTATTTCCCATCCACTTATCACCAATGGGTGTTTGTATCAGGACTGAGCACTTTCTTCTGCTGGAACCACAGAGTTCTGCTGGGTCTAAAGGTGGTGTTGGGCCTTTGGAATCCAATGGAAAAGCTCTGGTTCTGTAAGAGCTGTGCTTCAGGGAGGTGCTGGCTCTGTGTGACTCTGCTCCTTTGCTGTCTTTCTGGATTTCTCAGGATAGCATGCTTGAAGAGTAGTAGCTATGTGGGAGATTGCCTTTGGCAGCAGTGGCTCCCAGATGCTGACCAGCAGCTGGGCGCTGCAGCTGCTCATCATATGTGTCGGGTTGGCACACTGGGTTTTGCACCAGGCTTCCCATTTGGAGGTCTAGAGAAGGGAAAAAAAGGATTTAGTTGGATGTGCAGTGAGCAGGGAGGTAGTTCCCATCCCGCTGCTAAGCTCACTGTGCAGCCTGGGACCTCCTAGCCAGCTGCAAGCATCGCTGCATCCCCTTTGCACTCATGCAGCATCTGTATGCTGCTAAGCAGTAGTTAAAATAATAAGAAATAGGCTTCCAGTGTGCCTTGTCTCAGCCAGTGGGAAGAGAAGGTGCCCTTCTAAATAAAAGCCCCAATATTTTGCAGTGGCTGCAAACATAGATGTAGGGATCCCTTTTCAGTAAATGCAAGTAGAGAGGTTTTCCCTATTACTAGCAGTGAGCAATTAAATTGTTTATAAAACATATCTCTTTCTTGACTGTGAAACTTGTGCATGTGTAACCAGCAGGCTGAATTTACCAGCTGCAAAGTGCTCCATTTGCAGAGAAGGCTGCAGAGATCTGAAATTGCTGTTTGCAACCTCTCTTTTGCAGTGCTTGCATGGTGCTGGTGTAATTGGAGCAGCACTGGGGATTTCCGTGCTCGAGCATTTCTGTGTGACAGCCCTGCAGTGGGCTCAGCACCAACCTTGCAAAGCGCAGAAGTGGTTTTCTGCTGAGCAGGCTGGGTGAGACCAGCTGCAGGGAGGTCAGGCTGCAGAAGCAAGGTGCGTGCTGCTGTTAGGCAATGGGAGTTCAAAAGTGGTAAACTGCAGCCTGCAGTGTTATTATTCTGACAGTGTGTTCTTGGAGGCTTGGGATGATGAGAGAAATGGGAAGGGATGAGCACTGGGTGGTGTGCAGAGGGTTCTGGTTTCTGCTGATGCATCCTGGCTTTGTGTGTAGTGTCATCAGTGCTCAGTGGTTTGAATGATGTAAGGTTCTTTTCTCTGTTTGCTTATCTCTTTTTTTTTTCCCCCTCTCCCCCCCTCAACAATTACACAGTCCCCTCCTATCTACTGTACGCTGGGAGAAGAAAGTCCAGGTGCATTTCGGTGTTTCCTGTGCCACCTGCTTGCCTTATGGCCCAGTATTAATGCTGCAGATTTCAAGACAAAAGCATCCCTGTTGTCACATACTGACCTCTTACACCTGCATCGTCGTCTTCTGGTCTCTAAAATGAAGAAAGCAAACAGTTCAGAGAGATGAAGACACAGGGTAGAAAAGCAGTGCAGCTGCTGTGTAGGGCTGGCATTCCCCAGCAACTCACTGCCTTCCCATCTCCTATCAGGCTGAGAGCATGCGAACTGAGCTCATGTGTGGGGAAAGCCACGCACTGGGCACTGCTGCAGCTCCTATTCCCTCAGCACTGGGTTTCAGAGCTGCCATGTCAGGCTGGGGGCACAGGGGCGAGTTCCTTTTTGCTGTCTCCAGCAACTCTGGCATGCTGATGAAAGTCCATTTGCAGCAGTTACTGCTGAAGGTGAATGGCATGGCTCCCCTCCGGCGTGAAACCACGTTTATATCCACGTGGCTGCGATCCGTATCCACACACCAGGAGGATGTCATGGGCTGAGGTTTTACTCACTGCTACTACAGACTTACAGTGGGATGCAGAGAGATACTGAGCACTGCCTTTAGCCAATGCATATTAAAGGCAGTGTGCCTGGTCTAAGGATCTAAGGTAGAGTCAATGCAGTTGGGTACAGTAACATTTCTCTCTTTGTAATTTATTGTCTGGCACTAGGATGTGATAAATATTTCTGAAGCTAAATGTGTAGATGAGAGAAATATGGAAAATGATTTTAAGAGAGGTCCTCCTGCATTTTCTGTGTCCTGGATGTGCAATGGGTGTGTGAGGGCAACAGGCAGAGAGCGCATTGCCCTGGAGGAGCGGGCTGTGCTCTGTGGTGTGAGGCTGCAGGAACCTCTGCAGGGTGTCAGGGTGCGACTTACTTTGGCAGAGCACGATGGTGACAATCAGAGCTATAAGGAGCACGAGGCAGACGCCAGCAAGGGGAGCCCAGATGTAAATCTCACAGTAGAAATTCAGCATGTTCTTGTTGCTTGTTCCTGCAGGAAGAAAGGGGAGAGAGGAAAGAGGAAAGGCCCATCTCCCAGCTGTGGTGATGTCCAGCTGTGGCAGCGCCACTGGGAGGTCCTGCAGCACAGAGAGATGTGTGGCTCTGAGCGAGGCTGGTGGTAGGTGTATGTGAGGAGAGGGCTTCCATAGGGCACTAAGGGAGGGGTGGGGACCAGGCATGTCCTCAGGTGACGTCCCCCGTTATGGGCTGTTGCTGTTGGCGTTGTGCTGGGGAGCTGAGGGAGGACATGTAGCCAGAAGTCCTCTCATGTCTCTTTCTGGGGCTAACACCAGTGCTGGCCCAAAATGCTTTCCCTTCTTTTGGTGTGTCCAGTCATCAGAATTCTTGTGTCTTTTAAGTCATCCCAGGTGGAATAAAACTTGGGTTTGGAATAATGAAATCATTGAGGTTTAAAAAGACTACTAAGATAATCTAGTTCAAGAATGGCCACCATGCCCACTAATCCCTGTCCCGCAGTGCCACATATATTTATTCCTTGAACACCTCTGGGAGAGGAGATTTCACCACTTCCTGGGCAGCACATGCCAAATTGGTGCTAGTTTCATCCCTTCATCAGCATCTCACCGATGAAGCTCAAGATATTTCCTCTCACCGCGCATCCGAAAATGCCTGTAGTCAGCATAGGCCTTTATTTCATCTATCCACAGCTGGGTTACCTGGATCTGAGGTCTGCACGCAGATGTCCTTCTTGGTGACCTGGCTGCTCTGGGTGGTGACAGCGGGTGTGGTGAGTGCTGCTGCTGTTGTTGTGACTAAAAATAAATTGGATGAATACAGTGAGATAGAATACAAGAGCTTTCTCTCACCCCAGCTAGGACATGGCCACCACAGGAAAGATTTTCAACAGTGATGCCACAACATGCTGCCAAACCATATGAATTGAGTGCTGTGGTCTCATAATTTCTCAACAGTGCCCTGAGCCTCGATGAGGAGGAGCAGTGCTGTGTGATGAGACGGCTTGGGCAAAGAAGCAGGGACATGGGGAGTGTGGGCGATGGGCCGGATTGAGAAGGCACGGGCAGGGGTGGTGGGTGTAAGCGAGGAGGGTGAAGGTGTTGCTGACCTGGGAAGAAGGCAGGTTGTCCAAAGCTGAAGTGGAGCACCTGGTTGATATTGGTGATGCAGAAATAGGTCCCCTCATCCTGTGCCCTGAAGGACTTTACCACCAGCCGAAAGGAGTTGCCTTGTTTTGACCCCTCAAATTGTGAAGATGTTTTCTCATTCCCTGGGTAGGTGGTCCGGGAAAACATGGAAATGTAGACGATGAAGTGAAGTTTCCCATCCTTGTCCTGTCGGATCCAGGAGACACCGCTGTCAATGCCGTAAGGTGGGCACTCCAGCTCCAGCCGCTGTCCCTCCTGGGGGTGCTTCATATTCCTGTCAACGAACCTGGCCACCATCGTGTTCCTCTGTCCCTGGATGCTGATGTAGCCTGTGGGCAGAAGTCGGCCATGTCCCCTCAGGTGCTGCTCAGGAAGAGCTCCCAGGGCCTTTGGGCAGGGCTCTTCCCTGCTGGTGCGATGCGTGGCAGGCAGACAGCTGGGCTGTGAGGGTGAATGCGGAGGAGGGCCTTAGCATCCAGCATGCTTGGATGCTGTGCTGGAGTCCCTGGGGACTCAGCATTGAGAGAGCCAGGCTCTCGAGATGGATGGTGCCCTTCACAGCAGCCCTTCAGCTGCCTGCTCATGGATGCTGCCATTTCCAGTTTCTTTGCCAGGTGAT